AAGGGGCAGTGTCCCAATCTTCCTGATGTCCCAAAAAAGGTGTTTAAAGGGCCAGCACCAGTCACATAAAGAGTCCATAAGCCCCAATATGCCCACCGACAGTCTTAAAGGGCCATACACACTAAATAAAAGTGCATACATTTTCACAATCTCCCAGGGGCCATGGTCATGTGGGAGGAGGCTGGCAAATAGGCTTCTCCACAACCCAGGGAAGCAGGGCAATTTGCCATTTAAAGGGCCCGTTACAAATAGCAGTTTGTAACAAGGTGTCAATCCATATCTGCCAAGTGACCCTATGTAGGGGGGCCAGTCCCTATTCTGCTCTGTGTCAGTGTGTATCAGGGAACCTTAGGACAGGTGTCAATCCATATCTGCCAAGTGACCCTATGCAGGGGGAACAGTCCCTATTCTGCTCTGTGTCAGTGTGTATCAGGGATCCTTAGGACGGGTGTCAATCCATATCTGCCAAGTGACCCTATGTAGGGGGACCAGTCTCTATTCTGCTCTGTGTCCGTGTGCATCAGGGGCTCTGAGGACAGGTGTCAATCCATATGTCAAAGGTGTCAATATGTCATATGTCAGGTGTCAATCCATATTGATTGTGATTTAGGAATGTTAGGTGATTTCTGCCCTTTATGGATTAAAACCAGACTCTGTATCAACTGTGTAATTTTCCATGGGGGTTTTGCCATGGATCCCCCTCCGGCATGCCACAGTCCAGGTGTTAGTCCCCTTGAAACAACTTTTCCATCCCTATTGTGGCCAGAAAGAGTCCCTGTGTTTTAAAATTCGCCTCCCCATTGAAGTCAATGGCGTTTCGGGCGGTTCGCGAACATTTGCGGAAGTTCGCGTTCGCCGTTCGCGAACCGAAAATTTCGGGTTCGCGACATCACTAATTATAAGTTTATTTCTTCCACATTCCTTCAAGCTTCAATGGGAGCTCTGATTTTTGCTTGGCTAGATAACTTTTGGTTGGGTGCTCTGGTGGGATCAGGACTTTCTTGGTGGGCACATGGAAGTTGGTAACTTGCCTTTGTCCATTGAGATTGTGTTAAATAATTGAAACATAAGGTTTGATCAGGGCTTTCCTACGCTACTTGCCAGGCCTCCTTATACTTATACTCATCACTGCAAGTTTGGAATGTTCATGGCATACTCACTGGTGAAAGTGGTTACATTTTTACTCGCCAGTAGTTAGTGGCTAGATGAAATTTTGAGTCCTGGTTAAGATTATAAACTAGTGGTTTTTAACTGAGTCCTGAAGGCACCTCAATGATCCAGGTTTTGTGAAATGCCTTCATCCTGGAAAGTTGGTTTTCCTAGATGACTGAGTTGGAATCAATGTTCTAGAGATTAACAAACTATTATGTAACAGTGACATATATATGAATAAATATTTTATCAGCAATGCTGTAATTAATAGTTCAGTGCAGCCATATGGATATGTGGTGTCTATTTATTGCATTATATAAGTTTTTTTTTTTTTAAGCTTTTTAAGCAGTCAGAATAAATCAAATGGTCACTTTCTCCAGTGAGTACAGTTAAATTGATATAAACAGCACCATGCAATTTCACTGTCATAATCCAAATTATCATCAAACCTATAATCAGGCATTTTAATTAATACAGGAAATAATATAGCAATAATAGTACTCTGAAATGGCAAATGTTAAAGTTTGTTTATATGTAAATTATTTAATTCTGCTAATTACAATCCCATTTGCTATCTTTATAGTTCTAAAGAATAGAGGCAACTGTGTCATCAGTAAATGTCTTTAATTGTGATAACAGGTACTGTAAGAAATTAATCAAGGATTTGATGTTTATTTGGCTATAACGAAAAATGCATCTCCATACACTGAAAAAAGTTGTAATTTCTAAACTAATTTCTACTAAAGAACAGGTCTTTGAAATGCAAGAAAAACCTAGAATTTTGTTTTTTTTTTGTTTTAGAGTACCACAACTTTTTTTGGTTACTCTCACATTCTCTAAACAACATGTTGAGGTGACTGAAAACCAGTAGCAACATTTAGGATAAAATTAAATACTTTGAGTAAATTAGAACAGCAAGCTGTGTAAAATGTCAAGCAGGATATAACAAAGTAACACAACCACTAAATATATTAAACAGCACTCATAAATGTTGCAATTCTGTAGAGCTATGGATTTCAACAGTATAACTGTTATATGCTGGCAAACAATCTACTTATATAAATGTAGAACATGACCTTACGGTCTTCGATTGGCTAGATAGCTTCACATGGGTGGCCTTGAGGAATTCGTCTCGGTCTTTGATTAGCTGGATGATATCACAAGTGGGCTTTCCTGTCCTACTAGTTATAGTTAAAAACAGCAGAAACACAAGGCAAAGCTGACACTACATTTAGTTCCAGAAAAGGTGTCTTTGAGCGTTATATAAATTGATTTTCTTACCACTCCTGGGTGGTATGTTTATTCCTCATTCACAGGTCCTCTACCAGAGGCCTGGGAGTTTAAGGGTTCTGTGCAGTATCATAGCTGTTCCTAGAACTGCACTCTTCTGGACAGTGATCTCAGATGTCCCACTTGTAATCTGTTGAAGCCAATACCCCATCTTGGGAGTCACAGCCCCGAGTACTCCTATCACAACTGGGTCTACTACTGCCTTCACTTTCCACATCCTTTCTAGGTCTTCTTTCAGTCCTTGGTATTTCTCCATGTTCCTTCTTGCTGATGTTATAGTCACTGGGTATTGCCATATCCACCTCGACTGCAGTCTTCTTTTCCTTGTCTATCACCACGATGTTGGGTTCGTTGGCCAGCACTTGTTTGTCTGGATCTTGAAGTCCCACAGTATCTTGCCCTGTTATTCTGTTCTATCCTTTGTGGTATCTCCCATCTGGACTTAGGCAGGTCCAATCCATATTCTGTGCAGATGTTTATGTACACAATCCCAGTAACTTGGTTGTGTCTCTCCGTGTATGCTGTTCCTACTACCATTTTGCATCCAGCTAAAAAGGTAAAGCACAGTCTGCATCCTTGGTCTTGTCTGGTGTGGTAGACTCCATCTTCTATTGATCTGGTGATGAGTGTCTGTTCCTGTGCTGCTTGGATTAGTGCCTCAGTGCTGTCTTCCAGGTTGCCACTGGTAAGATTTTGTCATGTGAGCCACATTCTCTATCTGCCAGTAGTACACCCCATGGAGAGGTTTGTCTTGCCATGGAACCTGCTCTTTTTCTGCATCCTCTATGCCTGTTGTCTCAGGCATTCCCTTAGCAGTTTATCTTTGGGAGCCATCTTCCTGATGTACTTGTGGATGCTCTGTGTTTCATCCATGACTGTGGCCGTGACACTCATTAGGCCCCGACCTCCTTCCTTTTGGCTGGTATACAGACTCTGGGTGCTAGATTTCAGATGGAATCCTCCATTCATAGTAAGTAGTTTCTGGGTCTTGACATCCATGGTGACCAGTTCTTCTCTTGGTCAGCTGGGTATTACAGCTGGGTACTTAATGACTGGTAGGAAATGTGATGATTGTTTGGATCTTGTTCTTGCCATTGAGCTGGGACTTCAGGACCTGTCTGACTCTTTGCAAGTACTTGGATGTTGCAATCCTTCTTACCTCTTCTTCATGGCTGCCATGTGTTTGTGGTACCCCCAGATACTTGTAGCTGTTCTCTACATCTTGTATTTGGACTTCTGAAACTTGAACTCCTTCTGTCCTGATCATCTTCTTTCTTTTTGCTATCATCCGCCCGCATTTCTCTAGTCTGAACGACATTCCGATGTCCTTGCTGTATATCCTAGTTAGGTGGATTAGGGAGTCAATGTCCCACTCATTCTTGGCATACAGCTTGATATCGTCCATGTAGAGTAGGTGACTGATGGTAGCTCCACTCTTGAACCTGTATCCGTATCCACTCTTCTTGATGATCTAGCTAAGGGGTTGAGGTCTATTCAGCATTGGAGATAGTGCATCACCTTGGTATATGCCACATTTGATGTTCACTTGTGTTATTGTCCTGGAATTGGTTTCTAGAGTTGTTTTCCACTTGTCCATCGAGTTCTTGATGAAGACTCAAATTGTCTTGTAAACCTTGTAGAGAGCCAATCATTCCAGTATCCAAATTTCATTCTTAGTATATTTTTAGAGGGTTATTTTCTGAAGGGGGTTTTTCTCAAGGGTGCCGTTGTTCTTTAGATGTCTATTACAAAGTAGATTAAGAAAGATGATTGAGAATAGATCTTAGATCTAGTTTTTACATTTTTTTCTCTGATTCCTGACTCTCTGCAGTAACCTCTCTACACTTTTCTGTCTATTGCACCTTGTTAAGCTACTAAACTATTACTTTATCTGAGATATCAAGTTATAGCAAGTTTTTTAAGAGTAATACCAATTGCTATAATTCAACTAGTTTTGTAAGTTTATTTAAGTTGACATTTTAACAGCTTTTAAAGTGAAGTTACACTGTTGAAATCTGCAACAACTCTACAGAATTGCAACATGTATAACAGCAATTTAACCCCTTCTTGATGAAGGGCATGCTATGCTGTCCTATAAAAAGAGGACTTAAACACTGTTGGGTAGCATAGCATGCCTAAATGATCTGACCCTTCGGGCAGCCCACATACTAATCATCCTTGCCCGATTCGATTATGGGGACTTACTGATAACTGAGACAGTCCCGCTACAGCCAATCCCACTGATCTGCATCATGTGATCGCTATGATTCCGTGATCACATGGTTGGGATCCGAGTGATTGACAAATTGACTGCAGGTGGACTGCTTGGGTTGTCAGGCAGATCCCCCAACATATAATTAGTAAAATTGACTTAATTATGTTAAAATAATAAATAAATAAATACACACTTTCAATGAATTTATATATATATATATATATATATATATATATTATAATTTCATTCTTGGGATATTTCAATATTAATATTTTGGAAAGTTATAGGGTCAAATGTAGGGATTACAAATTCAATTCTCTGTACTTTTTGCTTGGGTTGTCAATCAGGTCCCAAAATATAATTAATAAAATGACATAATTATGGTATGCCATGATGGGGCAATTTTCATTCCTGGAATGCCATACAGTCTAAAGGCAACATAGGCTCAGCAAATTTTAATGTGTAAAAGCTGAAAAGGTAAAGGAAAGTCCTATATTTGACCCTGTAACCTTCCAAAACCCCACAAACATGTACATTGTGGGTACTGTTGTACTTGTGAGACATTGCTGAACATAATTTGAGTGTTTTATTGCAGTAAAAGATAACTGTATTATGCCATTCAAAGTTAAAAATCCTGCAGAACTTAAAAATAACCAAATTTCCTAATTTCTCATACTTTTTTAGTTTGTGTTCATATTAGTGTTGGTACACTTAATATGAAAAAGGTAAATTATGGTTTAACAAACATATAGAGCAAATTCTAGGGTTTGTTTTTTCTTTGGTCAGAACTTGTATAATTGCCTCTGTACTTGAGGGTTAATATATTTAGTGGATTTGTTACATTGTTATACACTGCTTGAAATGTTATAAAGCATGCTGTTCTAACTTACTCAGAGTCTGGAAAATAATATTTTCCCCTCCATCAGTTTGTGAGTCACTATCATTTCACGTATTTTATTTATTTGTGTTTTTCCTCTTTTTAATTTTGATTAATGATTTTATACACTATGCAATAAAGGTTTTATTATCAAGGCAATTTTTGAAGAATGGATCCCCTGTGGGACTTCACTTCATTACAATTATTGTAATAGGGCTGCGCCCTTTTACCCATGGCTACATGTTAGTTGGCACTGTTTATTAGTGACCTATTTATATTTTTCAACTTACCTATTGTAATTTACAAACTGTTTTTGAGCTTGCTGATATTTGGTAAATAGATACCCCAAACCTACTATAGTGGTTATGGTAACATGACATTTAAAGGACAGTTTGACAGCTTACCTGTGGCCCATCAGGTACCTGCTGCCACCAGCCCTACTGCACGAAGCTCCTGCAAAGAGCATGGCTGTGCTCATTGGCTAAGGATGTCATTTTAGCCCTTTCAGCCTGTGAGCGTGACATAACACTGCTGGACTTATCCCAGTGACTTGACCTTCTGGCAGGGGAGAAGTTGGTGGGCACTAGATAAGTTGTTAAATTGGAATTTAAAAAATAATTATTAAGGAAACTGTCAATGGGCAATGGACGACCCACTCGCATTTCCATCCATAGAAGAATAAAGCTATCCGACATATCCAGTTTGTAGCGTCAGTGACCATACAAAAGTGTGGAAAATAACAGTGCCCAAGTAGGAGCATCAGTTATTTAATATGAAAAAACAAAACTGTTTTAAAATTAAATTTACTCCTGCTGCTGCTCCACCTTTTCTCAAATACCTTTCATTGTAGTGATTTCTACTACCTCCACAGACACAGTTTGGAGAAGCTAATGATATGGCTCTCTTTTTGTCACAGTGAGGAAGGTTACTGATGTTACAGACTTAATGTGTTGGAAACCCTTGATCTTCTTGTTGTTGTTCAGTGTTGGAAATCAGAGTGCTTATAATCTTGTCATCTTATCATCCACACAGCATACTTAGCTAGGCAGGGCGAAACCATAACCATAAAAGGCATTTAAAAAAAGGAGGAGCCTCTTCAGTAAAGGTTGTCTCTGCCACTGGCAAAATCTCTAACAAGCTCTCTCTTAAAATTAATTCTTGGGGGTGGGGAGAGGGGCTGCAGAAAGTAGTAGTAGTAGTCGTAGTAGTAGTAACATTGGCAAACACAACAAAACCATTGGTTTCATTGATGCCTTGCTTCGACCACCATAAAACATAGTAGTAGTGTAGAGCTAATGAAAGTTATTGTGGAGATGGTGGTCTTCTTTGTGAGCCCAGTTGACTCTACTACTGCAACTACAGATTATTTTGCTACTTTTAGGCCATCTTTTTGGAGAATTAAAAGGTAGAGAAAAATACATATACATTCTGGGTGCTGAATAAGACGTAATGAGCATGCTAATCTCACTATTCTAAGGCAGAATATCACTTCTAATGGTGTTGCTTATTATGGTGGTAGTGATGGTGATGATGGCTTCAGTGGTGATGGAGGGGTTAGCAGTCCTCATGGCCAAGGAAGAGGTGTTAAGATACTGAGAGCTCCTGCTGATGGTGAATTGGGGAACACAACCCCTTTATTATTTATTTTGTGTGGAATTAGTAGGGCCCAGCATTGATAATGGTGGCGCTGTTCTTATTATTATATTTGAATGTGTGTTCTATTCACTCACACAACATTTTTCAGCAAATTTGATGTTTGTGTAGAAAAATGTGTTGCTGCATGGTGGATTTACTACTGTACCTATATTGTGTATGATTTTCAGAAACACTACAGTGCACATAGCGCACTAGACTGCATTGCACAATGCTTGTAAACTTGCACAGCACACACTCGACTGAACAAAGCCCCCCCCAAAAAAATGTTTCTAAAACCAGTTAAAAAAACGCAAACCAAAAACAAACTCTAAATCAGGGATTTGAAGCTGGTGTAATAGGCACTGGTAGTGAACAGGCACCGCAGAAACCAAACCACCATTCTCAAACGAGGATCAATGAAACTATTATTAAAAACTCAACTATTATCTACAACTCAATCTTGTAATGTAAATGGCACTGTGAAACTGTCAGGGACTAGACACAGCAGTAACCTAACCAGTCTCACACTAGGATAAATGGCCCATGCTATCTATCTCCCACTCAAAGCTGGTGTAAGTGGCACTAGGGATAGTGAGGCAAGTACAAATTAGCAGTATTGCGGCCCTTACTGCCATTGTGAAACCTTGGTGCTACAGGTGTACTCACTTCTAAATTGAAAAGTGAGAATGTGCCACAAAACTGGCTATGACCTGTTGTCATGTTTACAAAATGCTTGTCATGTTGTCATGTTTGCAAAATAAAGAAATAAAGGGATTCTTGTTACACAGGTATGCCAGGATATAGTGCACATCATACATACATGTAAGCACATCCCTGTCCACTTCATCTTGCTGAACTGATTATGATGCAACTTTTGTTTTAAATGTTCCAGTCTGATGATAAAACCTTATATCTTCTAAATGTAGGGTTACCTCCCTGGGCTGTCAGACAGCCAGTTCTCCTACTAGCTGGCAATATCAGTTTTACACTGATCAGCCACAACATTAAAACCCCCTGCCTAATATTGTGTACTTACCCCTCATGGTGTCAGAACAGCTCTGATGCATGGAGACGTGGACTCCACAAGACCTCTGAACATGTCTGTGGTGTCTGGCACCATGATGATAGCAGCAAGTCCTTTAAGTCCACAGATGCTCGATTGGATTAAGATCTGGGAAATTTGGAGACAACTCCAACACCCAGAATCTTTGTCATCTTCCTTAAACCATTCCTGAAACATTTTTGCAGTGTGGCAGGGTGCATTATA